CTGACGCAATATCTACCACTCAAAAGTGTGCATAGATATGAAAATATTATTACTCAACGAAAGAATACAGATTTAAGAATGAGAAAAAGAATTGGGATCGAATGCTCTTGTCTTCATTGATATTCACGACCTTTAAATAAGATACAAGATACTAAATAATATCTACCAAGAAAATATAAACTAACTAAATACTGATAATAAAATAAAATATACTACTATTCAAATTCAACTGATTACGATATCTAAGATATATTTCCTAACTAATATATTCGGGAAGATTACGAATATCATATATTCCATAACTAATTCAAACTAAAATAAGTTGCACTAAATTGTGACAGCCTCCCTGAGTGCAAGCTTATTTCTCAATAACTCCGAGAGCTTCTACGAAAAACTTCAAACTTCACTTTGGCAAGTGCCTTAGTAAATATGTCTGCAACTTGTTCAATGATTTCCTTCTTAATAAGTTCCACATCGCAGCGATTCAATTCTAATGAGAAAGAGTAATAATTCATCTCAACTTGTGCAGACTCAGCATACTCCATACACCGGTGAATTACATCACTGGTAGACTGCAAAAACTCTTGATCTGCAGAAGCTTTATATCCTTGATCAAGGTCCAAGTCATCCTTACTATGATCATCAAGGGCATGCTTGAGCTTTTGAGCAAGGGACTCATCTTCTTCAGCTATCCAACCATCATGCTCATCACAAGCACTGTCACCGTTGTCACTAGATGCATAGTCCTGAGTTCGTGGCTTATCAACATCATCCTCCACATGGTCAACATCATCCTCCACATGGTCAACATCTGCATCCTCAAAAATGTCATCGCCAAAAGATTTATTATTAATAATATTCTGGCTTCCTGTCGCCTTCTCAGAATCCTTAGCCACACTAAACTTATTATCCATTGAACCATCCTCCCCTTCTTCACATAAATTTACCTGAACTACGAAATCCTCCTCCAAGTCCTCAACATCAGAACCAAATCGTGATAAATCATCATCATCAAGCAGTGCAGCTATTTCTGGGTCAGACTGGGGCGGAGCATCAGTAGCCGAATCCTGCAAATTGGTAGTTTGATCTAAATTCTCCAAGATGAGAAAATCGTTAGCCTCAGAGGGGAGGTAAAGACCGTCAAGATCGTCAAACGTTAGCTCGACAACTTCATTTTCGTCGAATCTCAAATCCAAGGCCGTGGAGTAAACAGAAGGGTCATCAGGGGCAATAGAATTGAAATCGGAGAAAAGAGAGAGTCCAGATGCGAAATTTGGAGAGAATCAAACTCAGAAGCGTAAGTAGTGGAATTAGAATTTTGATCACCTGTAGAAACATCATCTTGATATACGGCTGAAGTCACGTTTGTTGGCTGGTCAAGAACCTCAGTGGTTAAGCAATATTCCCAAATTGGATCTGGAGAACTTTTATTTTCATGTACCGCATTTGCTTCTGATTCCTGCATCTTGACTCGACAATTTGGTTTAATATGGCCTGGCTTTCCGCAATGATCACACACCACTTTCGCCTGACAATCTCGTTTAAAGTGGCCTGATTTTCCACACCTGTAACAAGCTTTAAATGGCTTCTTTGACGACTCGTCACTTCTGAATTGATTCTCATTGCTAGATGAAGGCCTTGAGTGAAAATTCTGTCTCCTTTGATCTTTGACATACAACACACCTTCTAACTTTGGGGAAAACTCGTTGCTGGTAGTCATTTGCTCAATCAAGGCTTCCTGATTGGAAAGAAGATTCTCCAATTCAATTACCGTAGGTTGATTTGCCCACCCTTGTATTGAGGAAACAAAGGGCATAAACTCTTTTCGTAATCCACGAATAAGATAACGCCGTAATCGAGCCTCACTCACTGGCTCCTCAGCATCTTATTCTGAAATTTCAGAACACAGATTTTTCACTTTCAAAAAATATTCTTCAACAGAAAAATTACCTTGAGTTACCATAGCTAGTTCATTCTCTAGAAATTGAAGTCGAGCGGTATTTTTCTTAGTGAACAACTTTTGAAGTGTATCCCATACTTGCTTTGGTGATTTTAAATCACGAACATGATCAATATACTCCTTGCTAATCAAAGTTTGCAAGGTAAATAAGGCTTTTCCGCACTTGATCTTCCATTATTGACGTAATTTTGCATTTTGTGGAGTATCGGCTGGAATTTCTGTGTCATCACCTTCAATTAAATCCCATAAATCTTGCCCTTGTAGATAAGCTTCCATGCATAACTTCCAATAACTATAGTTATTGCCAACCAGCTTTTCCATAGCTACACCCATAGAAGCACTCCCACTATTCATCTCGTTGAGTATAATATTAAACCGTACCAACTTGGCTCTGATACCAACTGACGCAATATCTACCACTCAAAAGTGTGCATAGATATGAAAATATTATTACTCAACGAAAGAATACAGATTTAAGAATGAGAAAAAGAATTGGGATCGAATGCTCTTGTCTTCATTGATATTCACGACCTTTAAATAGGATACGAGATACTAAATAATATCTACCAAGAAAATATAAACTAACTAAATCCTGATAATAAAATAAAATATACTACTATTCAAATTCAACTGATTACGATATCTAAGATATATTTCCTAACTAATATATTCCGGAAGATTACGAATATCATATATTCCATAACTAATTCAAACTAAAATAAGTTGCACTAAATTGTGACACATCCTTCATAATGAAGAAGCTTACAATGAAGGGTTCGTGGAAGAGATTGGATCTCTTTCATCTCGAACAATTGTTATTTAACTCCAACAAGATTGAACGATTGTTTCATCTCGAACAATTCTTTTTGATTCGACAATTGTTTCGAGTCAACTGAGCTTTTTGATTTGACAATTGTTTCGAGTCAACTAAGTAATAATAACAACCAACATCTTCTTTCATCTAGAGAAATTGTTCCTAAAGAAGATGAGAATAACCTGAGTAATAACAACCAACATCTTCTTTCATCTCGATTAATTATGGGAATAACTTGACTCTTCTATTCAACCCTATTGTCAAGCAAGAGACTCCACATTTGACTTTAGTAACTACATTCTATTACTTTGATAATGTCTCCAGTCGCCTAGGCAACTTAATCAATTCAATCCAACGTTTCACAATTAGAAGATTCACAATAGCCATCAATTTTCTCTCTTAACTTTCATATGGTTTTTAAAAGAATAGAGGATCTTAATATGATTCGGCGGTTCACATAAGGGAGAATATATGCTGTGAAAAAGAGAGGGCTCAAATGCTATTAAAGAAGTAATGGTTGTGAGCAATACCAAAGAAAGTCATCGAGCCAGCCTCACCTTCTGGAGTATCGCATGGACAAAGCATACCCCACCCACTACAACTATAAATATCACAAATAAGTCGGACACATTTTGTACAATACCAAAGAAATTATTGTGGACATCGTTCTCAATAATTAGACATTAAGAACAATATCCAAAGTAGCAGTAATAATTATTAAGATAAATCTTCGCATGATTGATGTTTACTGATTATCCTTACCTGACTAGGTTGTAATGGTCTTCGTCTACTAACTTTCCTGGACTTCTCAAACTGTGGGGAGAGACTCTAGTCACATGACCCATAGTAGAAATAAAAGATAACCTAGCAAGAACCTATTGACAAGAGAGATGCATTAAGCCAGATATGTTTATAAAAAAATTGAAGAGTGACTAGATAAATCACAAGAAACGTTTGATTTGAAAATAGATTCTAAAAAGGAAATTATAGATTCTAACCTGAGAGAAGTCAAACTGACTTGACCTAATGTGCTTTCCAAGAAGCTTATCAATTGTCTTCTGATCACAATTAAATAACAAACAGCAAATGAGAAGTCCACAGGTAGAAGTAAATAGCATATGCCTCAAAAACTAAAGAGATCAATTGACCAGCTAGCTCCAAACGTTTGATTTGCCCACATAATTTTATACTTCAACAAGAAACTATCCTTAAAAATTCTATCATATGCTGAATACTTGTTGAGCACATTAAATACATATCAAACACTAATTGAGCAAATTGAATAGAAACTAACAATGGTCAGGCACAATCAAACACTTATTTATAACAATAAACACTTGCTACACACTCAAGAACATTTAACAAATAATTATTGGACACAAGAACTAATCATGGTTGCATAGATGCTTGAGCTTTTATAGAATATCGTTAATTGGCAGTAAAAGAGCTTTAGGCATAAGGTATTAGCTGAATTAACTTTTTTTTTTTCCTCAGTAAACGAGATGATTGTCTTGTGCTAGAGGAGGTTTGGCCCTTGCTAGTGTTTATGCATCACTTTGGATGTTTGTTTCAAAAGACTTTTATAATTGTAGACAATATTAGTTTAATCAGCTGCAAGTTGAATTTAACTATCATGCATCACTTTGGATGTTTGTTTCAAAAGACTTTTATTGTAGACAATATTAATTTAGTCAGCTGCAAGTTGAATTTAACTATCATCGGCAAGTCAGGACACTGATAATAAAACATTCATGTTGGGAAGTTACAACTTAACCTTGTCATCCATAGCATCCTTATTTAAAATTGCATCCATCATTTGTCTCATCATGACACCAACATATATGCATCTCGGAAGAAAGTTATTTTTATGGACCTAATCAGATAACACAAATGAAGAAATGAGCGGTTAAAGCAAACAAATATAAGCATCAAAACAAATTAATATGAAAGAAACTTCACTCATTGGGACATTGGCACGAAAAACATCACGAGGTATCCCTCCCTAGAGCCCTTCCTTCCTTATAAATAAATCAAAAGAATGCCACAGTTACTATTTTTCCTTCAAAAGAAGCAGATTTATGTAGCAAGCCCTGGCAAAAGCCAGGGCATTAAAAATAACTTTTCAATTTGCATGCGCTAGTGTTTTCTTTCATGTTTTTTAATACTTCGTTTTCAAAAAGAAAAAAGAAAAACTTGCAATTTGAGAAGGCGGTTTAAAAAAATAAAATATAATGAATGATATAAAAAGTGTTAATGAAACGACCTCCCAATGGAATGAAATAAATTGCAGCAAACATAAGAAGAAAATGCTAAATTTATACACAAGGCATCTCTTAATCTAATTGTGGTTAATATCAAACTAGAGAAAATAACACTTGGAACGCTCGTTAAATATCAATAATCAGTGGTATCAAACATACAAACTTTTGCCTCATGTTACTCTAATGCTTGTTCTTGCGTATATACTTTTTCGTTCGCACATTCCTACAATAATAGTGCAGTTGTCAAAGAGAAAATGAAAACTATAAAACTGACGAAGGACTAAACCAAGAATAAATGGAAGAAACGCATAAAACGGATTCAAAACTATACAGCCTATAGAACAGGTGCAATATCCGTATACTCAAAAGCTACAGCATAACAGTCTCAAAACACTTTTGCATACATAGATACATTTTCAGCATAACAGATGCTATTGTATAAGGTTGTTCAAAATATAGCTATAACTTACTAGCTTCCGTTGTTTGACAAAGAATAGAGACTTTGTCCCGTTATAGCCATCTGGTTCACCAGGAATCTATCTACTTTAGTTAAACAACCCTACAAAGTTCAACTAGGGCTTAGACTTTATCTGTTTGCTAAGGTCTGTGTGAAAAAGGTTAAACTCAATCCATATCATTCAGCTAGAATTTCTTTTGCAGAATGAATTAAATTGAATGTAACAATATATGTCCAAATTAAAACTTGAAGTTAAAAAACATTGCAGACTGTTATCCATAAGTGCTAAATACTATACTGAAGCATTGTCCCATAAGAATAAACCTAGAGTGGCTGGCACATTTTTATAGGAGAACAGGAGCAGAAAAGAGACTAACCTGCTTCTCATTCACAAACACATTGACAAACTCGCCAATTTTTCCAGCTCTCTTCAGCATTCTCATACCTGTAGCAAAGTACTAAAGGAAGAAGCCGAAGTGTGAAACAAGTAGGAAATGAACATGCTAGAGACATGAATGAAAAACGAGTGTAAAACAAGAAGCCGACAGCATCGATGCAGCAATGAACATGCTAGAGACATGAATGAAAAACGTGTACCCTAAGATAAGTACGATCATTGCTGGATTCAATTCGATCATTGGCCTTGACTATCTTTTTAGTTTCTGTATTCACGAAGTAGTTAAAGGAATCTCAAGCGTTGTCGAACCAGACCTCTTACTTGAAACCAGATGATTAAACTATGTGCGTTAATAATCATAGGCTGAAATTTAGACAAAAGCAGCGTAATAGAGATAATTTCATGGCTAAACATATAATCATAACAATAACAAACAAAAGCAGTGTGATGATTTCCACCTTAAAAAATGCAGGAATAAGTTGAAACTTGTCGACGGCTGACTTGATAGGAAGGCCAAGGAATTTCTTGTCAATGTCCAAATCGATTACATTAGGATCGTCGACTTGCGTCCCGTTCCTACAGATTTTGTCATGCTAGAAAGTAATTGATCAGTAACTAACACTGGCGGAAAACAGAAATTCAGCACCGATGCAGTCAAAGGAAAACGAAGAAATAAAGATTTTGAGAGAATGCGGTTGGCTTTACTTTGAATCGCCATCCGACGGCTTCACGACCATGGCTTCTGAGTTTCAGAGACTCCATGAGACGTTTTCGGAGACTCCCTGAGACGTTTTCAGAGACTCCTGGATGAACAAGAGGCTCCTGAGACGTCTAGGCGACTTACTCTTAACGGCTACTTTTTCTTTTTTTCTTTTTTTCTTTTTTCTTTTTTCCTTTTTTTCTTTTATCAGCTATTTACTCTTATTCGTTTCAATTTAGTTAAAATCTTTTTTTTTTGTTTTTTTTTAAATATACTGTTCTAATATTTTATTTTGAATTTCATTCCAAGATTAAAATTTATATACTCCACTAGTTTTCTTTATATTTTGAAATAGGTTTACATAATGTTTTTTCTTTTA